GTTGGTTCCTAGAAGTCTCTGTACTGTCAATTCCATTTTTGTAGTCATCCTCAGTAATCTTCCTCCTTACCCTCCTTTGCCATTTCCCTATAACTTGATGAATTACAATTTAAATCAGAGGGGGACAGCGCCACATGCGAAGGACATGTTCCCAGCTCAGCTGGTTGATCAACAAGTCCTGCTGGCACAGGGTGCTAATGGCCAGCCATGCCTGATGGGATGGGCGGGAGCCAGTAGGTACCCCAAGGTCCGCTCATGGGAGACAAAGAGACTGCAGGGCAGTCTGGGTCAGAGCTGTAAACAGCAGCTCCAAATGCTGAAGCTGTGGCCCAAGCTGGGTTCCAGGTCATGGTCCTGAGTCTGCACCTCAGTGTTCCCCTCCTGACCCCCAGCCTGCTGGTCTTTCTTCTTTCAGACGTGACAGTGAGTTGTCATCAAAGTTAGCCTCATGGATGATCTGAAACCTGCCTGGAGAAAGAGGCTGGGACATGAGTCTGAGACTTATGTTGGTTCAATTTTACCCAAAATGCTCAAGAAGAAAAACTCCTTCGCTTATCGTAGCCACGCCCAAGGCAGGGAAGTAGGATTTTGCTTCAGCTGAGGGACAATGAAAATTATTGACTGGCTGATGGACTTTTCTTTTTCAGGTCTATATTTTCTTTCAAATGCACTATTATTTTCCTTAAAGCACAAAGATAAGTCAATTATAAGAAAAAGCATAAAATCTAGTCTTCAAGAAGTAGTTTAAACAACATGGCCATCTCGTCTTGAAGCCTCTTTTGATTTTATTGGGCCAGTTTAGGAGAAAGCTTAATTTTTGCAAAGACAATCCCAAAAGACAATTGTGATAAAGTTTTTTTACTCTGTGCAGAGACTATCAGCTGGCATTTCTGAAAGTTCAGTGGGTATTCCCTTCACAAATAGACATGGATGCTGGCAGCTACATGCTTAACAGTATGTCAACTTAATACTTATTGGTCCAATAACATTGATCTTAGATTAACAGTTAAAACCTTGAAGTCAATCTCTAGAGTCTTGCATTTTGGAGTGCTGGGGTGGGACTCTGGTTCACAGTCTCCAAAAAAAAAAAAAAAAAAAGCTGTTATAATTGTAGGCCTGGAGGGTTAGAAAGAGAGAACTAAGACAAACAGAGGCACTGCTGGGATGGATTTAAGCATCACAGTGTTTGAGTTAAGCACTAAAAAGTATGTACCTGACCAAATGCATTTGAAGCCTAATCCTACATTGGAGACTTGTGAATTACACAAAAGGGAAGAGGTACTGCAAATAATAATCCCCACCTGTTTTATTTCAGTGACATGCACAAGCAACTTTCCTGTCATACACAGGCGTGTTCTCAGACAGGGGCATTGGAGGCTCATTTGTGGACAGTAATTCTGGCAGGGATATATGGTGGGAAGAGTACAGGGTGGTTGGTAACTGTCAGGATGGTGCTGCAGCGAGGGCAGGCAGCATGTTGGTGCGCAGAAGGGGCAGGATAGGTAATATTTCCCAGCTGTCCCTGCCCTTCTGCAGCTCCAGAGCATCAAACTCATCGTTTCCAGCCTCAGAGCTTGGGTGGAGGTGTGAGAAGCCCAGACAGGCTGGAAATTCCTGTCACTTTTTTACCTTTCTAGTTCTCTCTGCCCTTCTATAATTAGCCCCATTTCACAGATGTGGGAGCTAACACATGGACCTCACCACAGGGGCCACTTTGGTGTCTGGGAAAGGAGGGGGATGGAGGACAGGTGTTCTAGCTTCCCATCTCCCTGGCAACCGTGGGAGTTGAGACTGGGGTGGAGAAAGCCGGGTTTGGGGTTGTTTTCCCAAGCCAGGCCTGTACAGGTAATGTTTCAGCTTCTGCAACTCATTTGGTCAGAGGTAGGTGTGATTTTCATGTGACAGATAAGGCTCGAGAGATTTAACTCTGACCCAAGCCTCAGGGCTCTGAAGTCAGCAGTCCCAGGATTCCCTGACTTCCCGCCAGTGCTCTTTGAACAGACTCCTCTCTCGCCTTCTAACTTTTTCTTAAATTTTGAATACTTTAACCCTTGCTTGTAGTAAATTTATTTGTAGTTCTAAAATGTGTCTATTTCCCACAGAACTCTAGCGTGCCAAGGTAAGAATCAATACTAAAACACTCTTTATTTTTAAAGTGGGGTTTAAAGGCCTATTGTGGGGGAACCGAGATGGTCAATGGGACCCGGAGGCGCAGTAAGAGCGGGATTCTATTGGCCGCTGCTGCCGGCGGGGGCTCCGCCACAGTTGGCTCACGTGTGCACCTCAGCCCGCAGAGCCGCAGAGCCGATGGCTCGGGCATGCGCACTGCATCCCTGGGAGAGGGGTACCCGCCTTCGTCTTGTAGTTGGGACCAAGACTTCCAGATGCGCAATAATTAGGTTTCCTCATTAAACAAAGGTTTCCCCATCATTCTCCTCCTCCCACCGTTCTCAGCTGCCGGAGCTCTTGACAAACTAAGCTGGTTACCCGTCTCCCACACCGCCCCCCCACATCTCCGCTCTCCAGACTTCGGTCCACCGCTCCTACTTCTTCTTAGGGTCTCCGCATTTTAGGGTCCTTTACATACCTCTCGATTATTTCTTTTTCTTATCTTTTGACCTGCTTTAAAGGATATTAAGATCTGATTCTCTCTTCATTTTAGGTCCCCTCGCTCATCTCTCCCTCTCAACGAGATAAAAAATTCCCTGGGGGTCCATCCGAGAGAAACGTAGTGTCAACACTGCGGCTCCCCATTCCACTCGTCTTGAACCCCCACCCCTTGGGCTGTGTGGGGTTTAGTCCAAAACGCAGGAGCGTGGATGGCCCAAGACCTCGTTGGGCATTAGAGCCGGTCACCAGTCAAGCCCGACGGCCCACCTCCAGGCATCAGCCCAGGCCTCGAAGAAGCCCAAGGCCAGCACTTGCAAGCCCACCTGGGTGTGTGGGATGCTGCTGAGTAGCGCACGACTCAGGGAACGCCTCCAGGGGTGTTCTCTAAACCTCTCCAGGACCCCCTATGCGGGCACGGGGACCCCGGGGATCCATTTCCTTGAAGCACAATGGCCTTTTGTGGAAAGGAATCTCAGTAGGCGAGAAATAGCCACGATTACGTTCAAAGCCTCCCGCGGGAAACCTCCGTGGCTCTGCTCCGAGCTCTGCCCGACCCGCGTGAGGCGTCGCCGCAAGTACCGCGCCCACACGCGCTCCCGGAATCGCAGTCAGCTCCTTCTCCCTGGTAGAAACAGGCATCGCTCCTCTGGCTTTCAATTACTCTCAGCTTACCTGCAGGGCGAACGGATTTGTATTTTTCCACCATAAAACCTCCTGCCCTGGATTCCCCCAGATTCCCCCTTCTCCCTCATCCGACCTTAACCAGAAGAAGGGCGAGATACGGGTTTGATTCTCCGATACGACACGAATAATTGTTGCATCATGTAACTTCCTACATCTTGGTTTTAATTTGCAGTGAACCAAACAAAGATATTTGCAATTTTAAAATAAGCACTCCATTTAATAAATGAGAACATTGTGCAGAGAAGACTGTCTCCCCCCCACCCACCCCCTAGCCCCTTCAGAAGACGTTATTAGCTCTGACAGCATGCCGCTCAGGTTTGCGGAGAGGATTTTGTAAAGGGATGACAGACAGGAAGGCCAGCAATCATGGGCTCCTTGGGCTGAAGCTGGTTTTTTTTTTTTTTTCCTTTCTTTCTTTTTTTTTTTTTTATCAGAATGTTCTGTTCGATGCCATTTATCCTTGATGATAGAAAATTGCGCTGTTGCCAGGACGCTGCTGCCGCCGTTGAAATAGAGGGCAGGAGCCACATTTCCATTTTCCGGCTTGAAAGCTATTCAAATGAATTTGCAGAGAGGGGGGAACAACTAGCGATAAACAAATGAGAATAAATCGAGTTCCCCTTCCCATTCTTTCCTTTAAATGGGTAGCTCTTCATTTCCGATATAAAGATTTTTGTTCATCAGTGTTTGGGAATACCTGGGAGATAGTGTAAGCCAACGTACACTTTATTTTGATGCTCTTAAAGTGACTAACCACATAAACATTTAAAAAGAATGGATGTCTAAATATATATATAAAGTATAAGAATTATATATCTACATAGATCCAGCACATATACATACCTTCACACAATTCCAAACTACAGTGGAGGATAAACTCTTTCAGCAGAGTTTCAATTGAATGTAATTTGCAAGCAATGCTGGCTGTTGGTGGTTATGGACTTCTTACTAGTTCTGTATATGTAAGTATTGTTATATGGGATCATTTTTAAAGCCCTCACCGCATGTTATATATTTTAGGACGCTATATAATTTAATTACATAACTGATTTAAACACTCGCCCCTCCCCCCAAAAATAGATAAAAGTCACCCACTGTTATGTATTTCTTTCAAGTTAATTTTCCAAATTTACCTTTAAAGTTTTGTTTCTAAGTTAGCAAATACAATTCAAAAGAGTTGGTGCACGGTGCTTCTAAAGGGTACAAAACAAAGAGAAATGAAGCCTGTGTTTTCCCTCCTTAAAATTTAGATTCTTTGCTAACTTTAAAAGATCATGTATTAGTAGGAACTTAAGGGATCGCGTCCAAAATATGATAGTTTAAAAACGAGAACCTAAAAAACTTACAGCCATCAGTATATATATTATTATATATTATATATATAAATATTAGCAATGTCTTGACAGAAAGTACAAAACTTGTTGGGCCCCCACTGCGTTTTATCAATTAACTACTGGATTCTAACGCCAATGTTTTGTTTCAAGGTCAGATGCCGGCGGTTAGAAAATTTTCAATAATATAAGGGCCTTTAAAACACAACGACTAATTGTATTTGAGATATCAGTTGGTACTTTAACCTTAAAAAAAAAAACCCGACAATATTTTAAAACTTAACATTTTTTAAATGCGTTATGGGTCTCTTACTACCATGTTTTTAGCTACATGTTTGTTTCTAAGTGATAAGCCACCGCTGGGCAAACCAGGGCTGTAGAGAATATAATAGTGTAAAATCAGAAAGAGAGAGAGAGGCGGAGGGTGAATTGATATTGATGTTCCGAACTTTTCCAGTAGAATTTTCGGGCGAATCCCTCCAGCTAGCCATGATTCTTAGTTACCGATTCCCGAACAGTCCTGGTTCAGCTGAAAATTTCCCTGTTAAATTAGCATGATCATGAGAAAACAATTATCAACACCGTCAGATGAAGCTAAATAAAGCAAGGAAACAGTGTAAGAAAGTCCAATTTGCTCGTGTTTGGTGGTTAAAAGAATTGGAGGTGAGTGTAGAGTGTTTAGACACTGCAAGAGATTCCTCCTCCCTTATCCTTGGCCCTGGGAATTGTGCTCCGGACAAAAAGCTTCACTAGCCGGCTGCTTTTCCAGTTAAGGCAATTCACAAGGTTCCTTGGTCAATTCCCCCTCCAGGTACGAGCCTTGGGCGGCAGCGGGAGTCCGGCGCCGCCAGGACTCAGAAGCGAAGGCGTGGGCGCTCGGGCGGGGCGGCCCGGCTCCCGCAGAGGGGACCTCCACCCCCAACCCCGCCCCACTTGCCCTGGAAAGAGCCTGATTCCAGACTCCCCTTGGCTCCGCGAGGGTCTGGCGTAATGGACGTTACGCAAAAGGAGGTGGAAACTCTCTGGGTGCCAGGGCCTGGGTACGCGCGGAAAGGACCCCCGGTTCCACGGCGTCGGGTCGTGCCGAGACTTGTATCCCCGGTCCATCCTGCGGAATCTTGGGTCTCGAACCACTGCCTGGGCTTTGGCCACGTATCGTGGACTGGTTTGGAGTGTGGCCTCCAGCCAGGGGCGGGAGGGAAAAGGGGGAGGAGGTGGTGAAGGGAAAGAAAGAGTCTTCGAGTGCTAACCTAAACGACGAAGTGGCCCGCAGGAAAAAGCAGGGCTCAGCTGGGTGAATGGGCTGTCGGCGTTGGGACTTCTTGTTGTGTGGGTGTCTTTGTGTGGCTGGGCGTGCAGAGTTGTGGAAAAGTTGAGTTTTGGGTAGAACTGTGTAAACTAAGAGTGAAGACCGTGGGGTCACATCCCAGGCTGAGAGAACCTCTGCCCCCACCCGCGCAAGCCGGTTCTCCCCGGGAGTACTGAGTCCGTGTAAAACCGCACATTGAGTGACATTCTGGCGCACCCTGTCCTAGATAATGCAGCTAAAATCACAGTCAGGTTTGGAGGAGGGAAGCTTTTTCTCCCCCTGCAAGAGGTGTATACACTAAGCATTAAAAATGAAAGCGATTTTTTCCTTCACCTTCTGAAATCCCAGGACTATGAGACTTGCCTTTTTCCTCAACAAAAGAACAAGCACTTCTAAAAGGATGCAGAAACACTCACTCTTTAGGGGTTCCAGCATCCAGGAATGTCACACGCGGGGAAACACAAAAGCTCAACATTTTGATATTTTAAAAGATTTTCCCCTCTTTTAAATCCCCTGGGTAAATGCTCGTTGTAAGGTAAAAGTGCTTTGGTGTGAACTTCCCTTTTCGTGTGTACTAGCAGCTGCAGAACATTCCAAATGAGAGAGAAGGTCATTGTGGAGACTAATTAATATGACATTCAGTGCTGGCCTCATCAACTAGCCAAAAGCCTTGCCCCAGAAAACGAAAAAAGAGAAAGCAAATGTGCTTAAAAATACAAAGTATTCTAAATTCTGTATTGCCTCCCAAATCCCAAATAACTTTTCGTAGTTAGCCTTTGCACTATTAACCCACCCCATTCAAATTCCATTTCCCCTGTGTTCCAGGGCTGTATTTGTACTTATTCCTCAAGTCTCCAGAGCCATGAGATGTGCAGTACAAACAGTAAAGAATCACATTAATCCTGCTTTGATCTCGGGAGGGAGATCCTAGCAGAAATCAGGTCACCACACAGATAGGCGCTGCTGTGAAAAGGAGCCCCTCCTCCTTTTTTTTCTTCTCCTTTTTCTTTTTTTTTTTTGTCTCTTCAAGATATGTCCCTTGGCTTCAAGACATCCATTTCCAATTGGCAAACTGGAAAGTGTCAGTATGAACTGTGAATAACTTTTTATTTCAAAGCTGGACGATTAAGCTTCTTAGATGGAGCCATTTTTTTTGTCTTATAGATCTAGATAGTGGAGTTCATGTACTCATCTAGTCTACCTGGTTATTTACATAGCCTAAACACAACCTCCACAGGAACTTAATTGCCTGAAAAAAAAAGTAATATTTCCCCTGCTTTCTTTACCCCTGAGTCCTGTAGGCATAGAATAATGGTAGTTAATCTGCTTAGATAATTTAAGACTTAAAGATTAGAAGGCCTATATTGACAATTTCAAAATTCAAGTCTGAGTGCTTTGGCTAAGCAAAGCTTAGGAGATGACAGATGTGATAAAAGAACTGCCAAAAACTAGACTTTATTAAAACTAAAAAGTGTGATGTTTTTATGGCTTTGAAAGAAATGATTGTTATAATGTTCATTCAATCCAGATGTGTCTCTAAACAAACAACTACAAGGGTATTTTATTTTATGCTACCTGATATTTATACACACAATACAGTATTTCACTCTGCCTGCACATACACACACACATACATTTTATAGTCCTTTTCAAACCATCTCCCATATATATAAATATAGTTAGTATAGTTAGTATAGCTGAGATACATACTCAACACAAGTGGTGTGTTCATAATCATAAACATTGTTCTATGTATACATCCTTCCCTTCATTTCTCAATTTTCTGACAGAGCATCAACATTATATTACAAGAGGCTGCTTATGAAGCTATAGCTGCCACCCAGCTTTCTTCAGAACTTGTTGAATGGGAGGAACACATGCATATATCTGAATTTGTTAAAAATGTGATTCTGCTTCAAATTATCTCCATTAAAGTTTATTTTCATTTAATCTCAATGGGTCAGCCTCCATGACAGCCCAAATCCTGCTGACACTGAGGCTACCCAAATGCTTTTACATGCAGGACAAAGTACATTAAACTGCTTTGCATCGAATATGTCCTTTTAAAGTGATTTGAGACAACTTGTTTGGGAGCACAGCTTGGAAGGAGGACTAAAGGAAGGAGAGAGTTCAGGAAGGAAGAGGGCAAAGAGAGAAAGCAGGTGAAAGAAAAAGAACCACAAGAGTGATTATTTAGGCAGAGAAACCTTTTGTGGCTATAGATTGTGTCCCGTGAATTGTCGAGGTTATTTTTGGACTCTGTCCTCACCTTAGTGGTCTCCCTTGATCCATTCCTCTAAATCTGCTACCATCAAAATCAGGTTCTAGAGAATTTGTAGTGGAAGCTAAACCAAAATATTTCTTTATAGGATGTTGGGGATATTTTATTGGATACAGATACATAAAGCATTAAGCATCCCAGGAATGCTCATTTTGGTGATATCTAGCTGAAAAGCATATTGTCGTGTTCATATTAGCTGATTTGCGCATTATCTTACTTGTGGCTTAACCTGGCTCTACAGTTCATTTTATAAGCTAACTTTATACATACTTTAAAGTCAAAAATACTGTCTCTCCGGAAAAGCAACAAATGTTGGTTACTTGTTCATCCTTAAAGATGGAAATGAGCATTACATCTTAATTATATTTAGAGGTTTGCTAAAACTTCTAATCTCTTCAATCTACTTTTACCAGAATCTCAAGAGGCTGGCATGTCGCATGTGTATAAGGAGAGAGAATAGACCTCCTTGTCTTTTTAATTAAAGTTTACGCAGCTTGTAGAAAGCAGTAATTTTCTAGAAAATTAGATCATTTTAGATCACTATAGTTCCACTCTTCTATCTTTAACATGGTTCCAAGCAAATCTTGCCCTTTTAAAACCATCAATTATCAAGCAAAGAATACTGAAGAAGTATTCTGAATTTAAAGTATTTGGATTTTGCAACCTGACCTCGCCTCCATGAGGGTGGGTATAAATAATGGATCCTACCATATATGCACGGTATGACAACTCACATTGGTTTCTGTATAGCATATCCTAGTAACACATGGCAGTACCCATTCCTGCTTGTTGGAAACAGCATCATTGTTACCTCATTCTTGATTCTGGGGGTTATGATTCACATACACAAAGGGCCTTCTTAACTCACCATTCTTTTTCTAAACAAAGTAAAAATCAAATTTAACCAGGAAGTAATCAAGGCATTGAACCAAAGGAAAAAAAAAAAACAAAACATGGCAAGGAATGAGGGTCTTTTTCTCATTAAAAAATGTTAGGTTTACCTTTAGGGGATTCAGCTAAAATTTCTAGTGGCTCCCCATGGCCTATAGAGGAAAGACATATTCTGTAGTGTGACATACTTGGGGTGGCTTAGAGCCTAGGGGTGATGACTGTGGGTTCTGGAATCAGACTACTGGATAATCTTGAACAAGTTATTTTTCTTCTCTGAGTATCAGTTTCCTTTCTGTACAATTGGAATAACAATAGAACTAATTTAGCTGGTGATGGTAGAATTAAATGAGACAAATGCCTGTAAAATGCTTAACAAGATGCTTTGTGAAAAGTGAATGTTCAAAGAATACTAGCTATTGCTTAACATTAACATTAACATAATGCTTAACAAGGCCTTTTGGTTTCTGCTTCTGCATGTGCTATCTCCTTATTTTAGAAAACCCTCCCTTGCTCATTGCCCAGCTGACTAAATTCTCACCTCTCCAACTCTGCTTCAAGTAATATCACCCCTGGGAAGTCTTCCCTGATGTTTGAAATTAGGTGTCTGTCTTTATGCTTTCATAGCACCCATTACTTATTTCTTTTATAGCATTCTGTTGGTTTTATTATCATTGTTGCTTTACTTATCTGTCTCCCTAATTAGACTATAAGCTGTGGCACGCACAATGTAATATTTAACTTTCTTTCTCAGAGCTCGCAACTGAGACTGATGGATAGTAAATACTCAATACATGTATGCTGAATGAATAAATATTCAATCTTTCTGTTTTGCTTGCATTTATAAATAAGTTGTAATTGGATGGATTCTTCTACATTTAGTTTTCTCTACTTAGGTTCCTTTGAGCACTCTCCTTAAGGAACACTGTTATTCCCATAAGTAACTTTATGAAGAGTTTTAATTGTGGCCTCTGTAATGAATTGTTGATATTTTCAGGACAAAACATCTTCAGTGAGTTTGCCATTCTAATGAAGAAGTCATGGACGACTTGGGTTACCTGTCCAATCCTTAGACATTTGACCACACTATTCAACATATGGCTTATGCATATTCCTTGGGCAGTGATTTGTATTATCTATATGAGTATTAATAGTTAGGTTTCAATTATCACAATGTCCTGGCCAACTGGGAATCTAGTTATGAATCTAATTATGCCAATGGTGTAAAGGACATAGGTGTATGTAAAAGTCATTAATAGAGGTTGGAGGGATCATAATATCTTCAAAAGACCATTTAGGATTGTTTCACTGGCATCTTGGGGTCATACAACTC